GTAATTTTTAGTGTAAACCTCAGATACTGTTGGCTGGTTCCTGTTGGTTGTGCACCTTTTTATCAACCAAATTTGTCGACGCCATTACAACGACACAGATCACTCTGCCTATTCATGCCAGAGTCCTGCGGAAAAAGTGATTGACAGGTGGTAATTTGTGTGTAACTCATCTTTACTTATTTATGATTTGGTTATGGGTAAAACAAAGACCATGTGGGTCAGGTAGTTGAAATGGTAAGCTACAAATAATTAATTCATTATGAATTAGTTAATTATTCATAAATAATAATTCACCGCCACCTATAATGACAATGCCATCATCCATCGCGATGTTTCACATTAGACACCGTACAATGCCAAATTGATCAACATTGCCCAACCCTAGTTTTAATAACTATTTTTAATATCTGATTTCTTTTATCTTTGCCATGATGGCAGTACATAATTTTGTACTAGATGTTTTTCAAGATACTAGTATACAGCTTAAAGTGACATTTAAAGGCTTAACTAGGTTAATTAAGGTAAAGTTAGGGTAATTGGGCAAGTCCTTGTGTAACAGTGGATTGTTCTGTAGACAATCAAAATATATATAGAGGGGGCGTCACAGTCAGTTCCTGGAAGGCTGCAGCCCTGCAGTTTAGTTCCAACCCTAGTTAGACACACTTGATCCAACTAATTGAGTCCTTTAGGCTGGTTTGAAACCTGCAGGTAAGGAGGGTTGAAACCTGCAGGGTTGGAACTAAACTGTGCAGGGCTGAAGCCCTCCAGGAACTGACTTTGACACCCCTGGATTAAAGGGTCTAATAATAATGACTTTAACATGTTTTTTTAATTATTATTATAATTATGATTTTGATTATTATTATTATTATTATTATTATTATTATTATTATTATTATTATTATTATTATTAAAAACGACTTTTATTCTAGTCGAAATAAAACAAATCAGACTTTCTCCAGAAAAAAGAATATATTGCGAAAAATTCCTTGCTCTGTTAAACATCATTTAGAAAATATTTAAAAGGGCAAATAAGTATATTAAAACTGTTTATGAAGGATCATATGACACAAACAACAAATCAGTTGTCATCCATCACTTTTCCATATATGTAATTGTAATGCATTGCATTCATATTAACATTTCACCAAATAAAGTCACACCTTATTTTAAAGTGCAGTTATCACCATTAACAGTCTATTAACTAAGATACTAATTAGTACTAAATAAAAAAAAAAATTGTTTATGAATATTTAATAATAATAGTAGTTGGGTTTGAGTATAGGATTAGGGGTGTGGAAAAAGATCATACTTTATACAGTAAGTACTAATAAACAGCCAATGTCTTAATAAAAAGCAGGTAATAAGATTACAGTTAATAGTGGGAATTAAACTTTTTAAACTGAAAGGTTTTTTATCAAACCTAAAGTTATAAAAAATATATATAGAGTTGTAACTAGTATTATAAGTTGTAGATATTATACGGATTATTATTATGGCAGTGGCTCGGTGGCTCACTGTTGCCTCACAGCAAAAAGGTTGCTGGTCTAAAGACATGCGCTATGAGTGTGTCTGTGTGTGTAAATGAGTGTATGAGTGTTTTCCAGTACTGGGTTTCAGCTGGAAGGGCATCCGCTGCGTAAAACATATGCCGGAATAATTAGCGGTTCATTCTGCTGTTGCCGACCCCTGATAAATAAGGGACTAAGCCGAAGGAAAATGAATGAATAATGATTGTTCGTATTACTTTAAGTTAGAATAAAAGTGCACCATGCACAGTTGTGAACGGTCAAACTTTAACAAAAAGTATTCCAACTTTCCTTTGTACTGACTCATGTCGAGGTGCGTTTTGTTTTCTTGTCTCTTTACTTTTTAAAACCTTCCTCCCAGTGTTCTTCTGGAAGCAGTATGCAAATGCTATTGGCAAATATAAGCTGTAAACTACTGCTTGGTTACCCTCTAATAAAGACAATTCTGCTTTCAGGGAAGCAAATCAAATTGCATTTGACACAGGCTTTAGACAAAGCTTGCTCAATAAACTCCTGCGAGGGGAAAAAAAAAACTCGTCGCCGTTTCCTGGCGATTGTCACGGAAGGACAGAGAGGTGAAAGACTTTCAACATGAATGACGCTTCCACGCCGTCCAAAGCGACCCAGTCATGAACCTCTCCCTATCTCAGCCCTGCAGACATCCCTTAAAATAGCCAACGTTTGAAATCCCTCGGCAAGATTTCCTCTGTAATGTGAGAAAAGCAGACTTTTTTTTCCCCCGGCACCGCTAATAAACTCACCAAACCTCGGCCTTTCATCCTGCCATTTCGAATGCAGGAAGTGTTACGCGCTGATTACTTTTAAACATATTGCCTTTGACCTTCTGTCAACTAATTACCATAATACCCATCATGCCACGCCGAGGAGAATGAGCGGCCGTCTCGTCTTTTGTGTAATAGTAATTGCATTCTTAATTTTAGAGGTTAAGCATACTAATGGCACGCAGCGATTGGCTTTCTGGGAGGTTGGTGCTGAACAACCTGTAGAAATGGCTTGAAAACACCTCTGAAGAGTAGTTAACGGTTCAGAGTTTGGCTCGGTTCAGTGACAGTTTCAATGATCTTGTGGATTGATTCGTCTTTGTAGTCGCTTTGAAATTGCTGGTAATTTTCTCACATGTGTGATGTCACCATGAAGACAATGACAGAGGCAGCAGGTGAAGAACTGCTTGTCTTCAGATCTCTTTTACTTACTTAATTCTAAATGCTGGATTTAAATAAAAGTTATTAGGAGATGAGACATGAAATGATTTGAACAACATCTATGTTCAACGATTTAGGGCAAGAATTTGTCGTTTTTTAGGGTAAGTCAACTAAACATTCATTCATTCATTTTCCTTCCACTTGGTAATTTATTTATCAGGAGTCACCACAGCGGAATGAACCGCAAACTATTTTAGCATATGTTTTACACAGCTGATGTCTTTCCAGCCGCAACCCATCACTGGGAAACACCCATACACACTCATTCACACTCATACACTACGGACAATTTAGCCTACCTAATTCCCCTATAGCGCATGTGATTGGACTATGGGGGAAACCGGAGCACCCGGAGGAAACCCACGAAAACACGGCGAGAACATGCAAACTCTACACAGAAATGCCAACTGACCCAGCCGAGACTCGAACCAGCGACCTTTTTGCTGTGGGTTGACAGTGCTAACCACTGAGCCAGCGTACCACTTCGTTAACTTACCAATATTTTATTATTATTATCATTTAAGAGTCCATGCACACACTACTACTTGTTTGTTGTTTAAAAGTGCATATTTTTCTCTCTATTTTGGACTTCCGTCACTGAATCAGTGTTTTTAGGAAACCAAAATGTATCTTTTTGAAAACGCTGTCCAAAGTGTATTGATTTGAAAAGGCTAATCTTGTGTTGCGATGTGGACTGTGAAAACTAACACAGGCTCATACTGAAAACGTAGCCTTATGCACATTTCTGGAGATAGCAAATTATGTAACCAGAGGTATGTATGGCTGCGTTTTGTCTTAAAAATGAATGCCACGAGGCGGTATGATGCTGTTCCTTTCCGCGCTTACCAGCTGACCACTTACCTCCGTGGTGTTGGTTTTACCACTGTTACCAGTTTGTCCAGTGGCTCGTCATGTACATTGGCGGACTTGAGACACAGAGAGGAGTTTACCACGACGGCAGGGTTTGAGTCCGGTGTATAACGGTTCCAGAAAGCAGGTAAAACAAAAACAGAAGGCAAAAAATAAAATAAACAAGTAAATAACAGAGGGAGAATGTACTAAAGTCTAAACACGTGGTAAATTCAGGCGGGGCTTTTCTTTTTCTGGATTGTGTTTAGGGTGTTTAGGGAAGTGAGTGGGTGGGTTAATCTGTGATTTTGAAAACATTATCAGTTTGGTTTAGGGATTGAGGAGGGGGTGGGTCAGTCAATCGGTCAGTCAGTCAGTCAACAGCGGCCTCTGGTGTATTTATGCAAGTACAGCAGGCGCAAATGTCATTTATGAGAGAAATTTAAAATCTCGAGAAGCATACACAGCGACCGCGGGTGAATTCACGAAAACAAAAAACAAGAAGTAAGTTTTCAGAATGAGCCTGTGTTGGTGAAAACAGAGCCTTTCGAAAAGGATACTTTACATTAAATGGCCTAATATTAAGTTGCCTAAAAATTAATACAAAGCACTTACTTTGTTCATGGTGTATTGCAGAACTCTTCTGGTGCTCTTCAGGTGGGACACGGGTAGGGTTTGGGACAGGTTTGGTGGTATGGGTTGGATAAGAGTGGGTTAAGGTGTTAAGGATGGTCAAGAGTGTACCTGTAAAAGTAGGTACAGATGTAATTACATGCAGGTATTTAATCAATCATAAGTACGGCGTAAAACATGTATTTATACAAGAAGTACGTTGTGACAAATGATTAATTTTAGTGTGCATACATATTGGTAAATACACATTGGATGAAATTTACAAAGAACTGTCCTACTTGCACTCTTTTAAGATTAATATTCAATTTAGCTTTATTTGTGTAGCGCTTTTACAATGTAGATTGTGTCAAAGCAGCCTCACATAAATGGTCATAGTAACTGGAACAGTGTAGTTCAGTTTTTAGTGTTTAAGTTCAGTTCAGTTTAGCTCAGTTCAGTGTGATTTAAAATCATTACTGAGAGTTCAAACACTGAAGAGCAAAAGTCCCGTACTATTTTAATGGATAGCTGAAAGACACCATACAACCACTTTCCATCAAAAAGTCAGTAAAAGAACTGCATTTTTATATTCAAGTTCATGCACAATTTAACTACTCATAAGTTATTTCCAAATAAATCCTGACCAGCCACTGTAATCTCCTCTAACCTTGTGAAGGTTGGACATTTTTAAGATAACATTTTTTTTTTTCTTTTTCAGGACAGCATCACGAGAGATAAGAAATATACATTTTATAATCAAATATTGATTTTTTTCATCCCCTATTTAGGTGGCATGGCATCAGATTGACATTGAAAACTGCTGGGAGCTCACATTTCTCCACGAGAGGTCATCGGGATGATTCTCCTTCCTCCGGAGCTTGGCTTTTGTCATGTTTTATCAGCGCTGACTGTGTTGGACTCGAACTAAAGGTTAAACAATGATGATCGCAGGGTTCACCGTCACCTAGAGCAGAGCGTGATTGCACAATATCAACTAATGCTTTCCTAGTTTACATCCATTCCCAAAACAAACAAACAGAGAGCATTGTTTAAACCATCACACAAATTGAGGACACCGATGAAGCCTCTTAGTTGGTTATTTTGTTCCTGCTTCCGTCATTTATTTTTATAATGTACGCTTGTGTGCACATGTTCCTCTCTAAAGATGGTAATCTAAGTACTTGGTAAACTCCTACACTGTCATTATGAAGTAAAGCACTGTAATCACCCACTAAGACAGCCTTTAATTACCCATCTACCCCTATTTTACACGCCGTGCCTCATTCCTGATGTACACGCACTGTTCTGAGCTCATACTGGATGCATTCAAACTAAAACTCATCTTCATTACATGCATTGACAGGGATGCTTACTCTTATTTATTTGTAGGAATGGAAAGAGAATCCGAAAAGAAGAGGGGAATGGTGATGAATCGAGATCGGGATATATAGAAGCAAAGAAAAGTTGGTATCCTTCAATTGATTTTATATATAAACGGATCCGGCATGTTACCAGTATATATAAAATGTACACTCACCGGACACTTTATTAGGTACACCTGTACCTGTTTTTAATCAGCCAATCACATGGCATCAACTCAATGTATTTAAGCATGTAGACATGGTCAAGACGATCTACTGCAGTTCAAACCGAGCATCAGAATATGGAGGAGAGGGATTTAAGTGACTTTGAACGTGACATGGTTGATGGTGCCAGATGGGCTGGTCTGAGTATTTCAGAAACTGCTGATCTTCTGGGATTTTCACGCACGACCATCTCTAGGGTTTACAGAGAATGATCCAAAAAAGAGAAAATATCCAGTGAGCGGCAGTTCTGTTGGCGCAAATGCCTTGTTGATGCCAGAGGTTAGAGGAGAATGGCCAGACTGGTTCGAGCAGATTGAAAGGCAACAGTAACTCAAACAAGCACTTGTTACAACCGAGCTCTGCAGAAGAGCATCTCTGAGCACACAACACGTCCAACCTTGAGGCAGATGGGCTACAGCAGAAGACCACACTAGGTGCCACTGCAATCAGCTAAGAACAGGAAACTGAGGCTACAATTCACACAGGCTCACCAAAACTGGACAATAGAAGATTGGAGAAACGTTGCCTGGTCTGATGAGTCTGGATTTCTGCTGCAACTTTAAGATGGTAGGGTCAGAACTTGGCCTTAACAAAATGAAAGCATGGATAATTCGTGCCTTGTATCAAGGGTTCAGGGTTTCTTAAACATGACAATGAGTTCACTGTACTCAAATGGCCTCCACAGTAACCAGATCTCAATCCAATAGAGCACCTTTAAGATGTGGTGGGATGGTAGATTCCATTCATGCATGTGCAAACAAGTCTGCTGCAACTGCATGATGTTATCATGTCAATATGGACCAAACTCTCTGAGAAATATTTCCAGTACCTTGTTGAATCTATGCCATGAGGGATTAAGGCAAAGGCGGGTCCAACCTGGTACTAGTAAGGTGTACCCAATAAAGTGGCCGGTGAGTGTATATGTTTATAAAAAGTTTATTCTGAAAATAAACTAATGAAATCAGATATTGCTTTCAGATTGGATCAACAGAAAAAAAGCAAACTACTGAAACTTGCCTGGACAAAATTGGGGGAAACAAACATGTCCCTATGTACAGCATGAGCTATTCCATGCAAATGTCAAACTTACCATGAAATAAAAAAGGTTTTTGTTTAGGCTCATGATTTACAGTACTGTAAAAATTCTCAAATGTCTTGTCAGTGTTTTCAAACAATTATATTTGGTATACTAAAGTCACACAAGTGCCACACAACATCTGTAACATCCATAATGGAGAGGCGTCACATCCATAACCAAGCTTTTCCCTCATAAATGCTAAAACTTTAAATAAAACCAATCAGTCATTTTCCTTGTATAGAAAGTCAACTGTTATGTTTTTTGTTACCATTGTTTTTTTTTTTTTAGTTGCGCATTTTAATTTTACAAAGCATGTATACTGTAAACTCGCCAAATTTTTTAGTCACATCCATATTCTCATTCAAAATATAAAATGTTTACAGATTAAATTTTTTCTGATCCCACAACTCTGTGGTTGGTAGTTTTGGAAAATATGAACGGATGTTTCAATATAATGTTAATATATGCTGAAAAATCCAGCTTCAACCAGCCTATAGGCTGGTTGGCTGGTTTTAACTGGTCGACCAGGTTGGTTTTAGAGGGGTTTCCAGCCATTTCCAGCCTGGGCTTAGCTGGTCAGGCTGGAAAATGACCAGCTAAATCCAGCTACAACCAACTTGACCAGAATGTTTTAAACTGGATTTAGCTGGTTTTGGCTGGACTCCCAGCCTGGCTTGGCTGGTCAAGATGGTTTTAGCTGGTCATCTCCCAGCCTAACCAGCTAAGACCAGGCTAGAAATGGCCAAGACCCCTAAAACCAGGCTGGTCGACAAGCTAAAATCAGCCAACCAGCCTAGGCTGGTTTAAGCTGGATTTTTCTGTAAGGTGATTTATGCTTTTGAGTTTTTACTGCAAATATCATATTCATAACGCTGGAATTGCTCACAGCAATATATAACTTTTTAAAGGTTTTAACAATATGCACAGTTTTGAATTTACCGCGTCTAGAGCTGTCAAGTGTTCATTGTTGTGTCCAATATGTTTTCAACATTTGTAGTGTCAACAATGTCCAACAGATGGCGGCGTTTTCCAGTTCCAGTAATTGACGTCCATTGAGGGAAAAAAATGTACGCGACTCGCCCTTAATCACTTCCGGTGTAAACAGAAGAAGCCTGAAAGTCAGGTTGGAGCTGGAGAGATAAAGGTGAGTCATGTAATTAGATATTTTGTTCATAATGAGTCTATAAAATAGCATTTTTTTGGTGTAAGTTTGTATTGCCAGTTTAATTCCAAATAGTTAATATGTGTTTGTTCTACTTCTGTTGGTATGCTAATTAAATCAGCTGGAGCTGCTTGTTCATGGTCGTATTTTCTACGCATTAATTAACGCGTTTTTAATGTACATGTTGTTTTGAGTGACTTGAAATGTTGTTTTGAGGTTTGTGATAATAACTGTGATATAGTAATGTATGTAACTTTAGTCTCGTAGACTGCTTCATATCTTCAGCTCTATTTCAAATAGCAAATACTCATCATGACATTATAAAAATAATAAAGAGTAACACTTTATTTTGATGGTCCACTTGAGTATTAGTAGACTGTCTGCTTAATATATGTAGATACTGCTTCTTCAACAGACATTTAACTGACTATAAGAAACTGCAAGTACATGTCAACTTACTCTAACCCCTAACTCCTAACCTAACAGTCTAACTTACTTATAATCTCATGAGAATTAGTTGGCATGTAGATGCAATGTAACCTAAATTCAACAAATGGACCATCAAAATAAAGTAAGCCCAAATAAAGTCATTTACATCAGTCTTTTTGCATACAGTAAACAAAAAATCTTGCTAAATATATGCAGCATATAAAATTTTATTTTATGTAACCTATTAGTAGGCCCACACGGAATATGTGCTTGCAGAATTCCGCAGATTTTTAGTCTATCATTGATTCTGTTTATTTAGTTGTTTAAATGTGTGTAAATTTATATTTTAATCAGTATTTTTTTATTAATTTCAGTAATATTATTTACTGATATGAAAATATTCATATGATTCATTTATAATACAGTTTTTAAAATAATATTCTCTGTCTTTTAGTAGATATATTATATGAAAGTCTTGCTTTGTTTGCCGAATAACCAAGGATCTAATTGGATTTTCATTGTAAACATTGAATATAAGTAAAAAAAAAATCATATATTGAAGTTTTAGTTATGATACTCCCAAAATCATTACACATAAATCTGCAGATTTTTTGCAAATTCTACACAGAAATAGTAAAAAATGTCCACAGATTCTGTCAGTAATGCCTGAATATATGGCTTGAAAGATATGCCATGGACACAAGCTATACAAACCACTGTTTAAATTCATATTTTTAATTATTATTAGTTAAAAAAAAAAAAAAAAATATTTAAATATTTATTTTATTATTACTTTTTGTTAAAAAGGAGTATTAGTGTTTGTTTATATTGTCACAAAGTGCTATATTATATTTAAAATGTATAATTTTATAGGTAGCACGGTGGCGCGGTGGGTAGCACAATCGCCTCACAGCAAGAAGGTCGCTGGTTCGAGCCCCGGCTGGGCCAGTTGGCATTTCTGTGTGGAGTTTGCATGTTCTCCCTGTGTTCACGTGGGTTTACTCCAGGTGCTCCGGTTTCCCCCACAAGTCCATAAACATGTGCTAAAGGAGGTAAGCTAAATTGTCCATAGTGTATGTGTGTTAATTAATGTGTACAGATGTTTCCTAGTGATGGGTTGCAGCTAGAAGGGCGTCCGCTGCGTAAAACACATGCTAGATAAGTTGGCGGTTCATTCCACCGTGGCGACCCCAGATTAAAAAGAAACTAAGCTGAAGGGAAAATGAATGAATGAGTATAATTATGTTTACACCCCCTCCCATCAATACCAAAAAGTGACTGAGCAAACCATCATTTTTCAAATCAGTTGAACCCTTAAAAATTAATTTTATGACAAGTTATGAGTCATGAAACTCGTACATACGTTTTTACCTGTGAAATGCCACCTCTTGTGTCACTAATGTGCTGTAAACTGATTCACGTGGCTCTGCTGCTGGTGACACATTATTTGCCTCTATTTTTGGCGTCTTACGAAATCATATTTAAATATGAAAGTGTTGATCAGTGTATCTCGGGGTGGAATCGAGTTTGAACTGTTAATGTCCTATTCGGGATGTAAAATCTGATGGAAGATGAAGGTGGGAGATTGTAAAAAGGTTGATATGGTTTTAGGGATGGCGGGGAGTCGTCTGGAAATAGCTGAAGGCTGGAAGCCTGTGTTGATACATTATCTGATAAAGAGCAAAGATGCCGTCTGTTCTAGAGGTGCCATTATCTACAAAAGAAGAAAAGACGAGAGAGAGAGAGATGACTGAATGATAGCATCGCCGCATTGCTCTATTGATGGACAGTCTGTCTTCAGCCCCTTCATGACCACGCTCGCCATTTCCTGCAACATCGCAAACCCAATCTCGGCTCATCTGATGAAAAGAAAAATCTCAAGTATGTTTGTCAACTTTACTTTCTACTTGCTCAGTATATACACAGTCAAAACATTCACAGTTAAAGGGACAGTTCACCCTAAATTAAATATTCTGGCATCATTTACTATCATATCTTGTTGAAAACCTGGGTTATTTTCTTCTGTTGAACACAAAAGATATTTTAAAAATTGTAAGTTGCTTGAACCCATTGACTTCCATAGTAGAGCAAAAATATAATAAATACTATGGAAGTCGATGGGCAGTGTTGGGGTAATGCCTTATAAGTAATGCACATTACATAATAAGATTTATTTTTCCAAAGTAACAAATAATACTTTTAAAAATAAGTAATATTAGTATTTATTATGTTTAATTCAATTCAGCTTTATTTGTATAGCGCTTTTACAATGTAAATTGTGTCAAAGCAGCTTCACATAAATGGTCATAGTAACTCGAACAGTGTAGTTCAGTTTTTAGTGTTTAAGTTTAGTTCAGTTCAGTTCAGTTTAGCTCAGTTCAGTGTGATTTAAAATCATTACTGAGAGTTCAAACACTGAAGAGCAAATTCATCGACGCGTAGCTCTACCAATCCTGAACCATGCGAGCCAGTTGCGACAGCGGAGAGGGAAAAAAAACTTCACCTGATAGCTGGCCAAAAGTCTTGTGCAGAGCTTCAGTCACCGCGGTGGAAGCTGGAAGCTGGCCTCAGAGAAGACTCGTCTGTCCCTGGAACGTCATTTATATTATATTATATTATATTATATTATATTATATTATATTATATTATATTATATTATATTATACTATTTGAGTTACTTTTTTTAAAAAATGTTACGCAATTTACCTTTTACCTTGCTTAATTGGCTTTTAAAAACATATTGCAGAAAAAAGATGACATTAGTCAAGTTGAATAACACACTCAATGAGAGAGTTTGCTGCAAGGGAACTGATAATCGACTAGGACTGACCATCATCAGGTTTTCTTTTTCACAGCAGATGAGTCAGTGTACTTTTCTAGTAACTGAATATCTAAAGATACGGGTTTATTTCGAGTCAGAGGGAGTATTCGGTTTGTTTAGTACATAATGAATAAACCGTTTCATGACAACTCTGTTCAATCTAAAGAAATGATTCGACAAGTTCTCTTAGAAGATCCGGTTAAAGCAAACGATTCATTCGTGAATCGCCCATCATCACTACAGATAGTCAGAATGGCAGGCCGGAGTCTTACATTTTTGCAATGCATTCTTGTGTATTTTGACCTCGTCAAAGAAAAGAAGTGGATTGTTGTTAAGTGTAGATTGTGTAAGTAAAACTCTTGACAAATGCAAGAAACACGACATTTGACAGGACGTACTTTACCTCAAGTTTGATTCAGACTGATTACAAAACTAGAAAACCTTTGTTTTCAAGTGCACTTGGTTCATTTAAAAGATTTCAAGCTTTATATAGATACATTCATATGTCTGTGAAGCAAATAATCACTGAGAGTCCAGTGCATTTGTTGACCACCAAACTGTTTTAAAAGCACACGTCTGGTCCAAGCTTTTCCCAAGAGAAACAACAGTCTATAGCAATCGATAATTGGCTCCTGTACTATAAGGTGGGGCTTCATTCGCCATATTTGCTGCTACACATTTTCCCATTCAAATCTATACGGGTGACATGCCTTGTGCATTCTAGAGCCTTTAATGCAACTGACTTAGCTCTTTTTCCTCTCAAAGTTCTCCTTTTTTTAACTCCCGGCGCACATAGCACAATGGCAAAGTCGCAAGGTGCAGCAGGTGGTTAAAATGTAACACTCACAGCCATTAGTAAACCATTCAAAAGATGTGCCTCGCCACAGAAAGCATGTTTGGTGTGATCAGGGCCTAACTGTACTGTAGTTTTCTCTCTGTTCAATGTTACACTGGTGTCTAGTGTGCATTCACCGTCACCTATTGCAGTTATTAAAAATAAGTGTTCATACTTTCCTGTAATATTGTCTTGTAGCCTAGTTTAAGAGGGCACTTTTAAAAACTGCAGCTGTTAATAAGGATAACAGAAACGTAACAATTCTTAAAAATAAAAGCCACATTTCTCCGCCTCTGCCTGTTCTCCCCCGAATAAATAAAGTAAAATAATAATCTCCAGAGGCGCAGCAGGAGGTGTAGATTGATTTAGCTGAGTGTGGCAGGTCTCTGGTTATCTGCGCGCTGTTCACCCAGGCCAGCGTCAGGATGGGGAAAGTGGGGCAGTGAAGGTTCAGTAATGGAACGGGAGTTTTTATCTTTCCCAGCGAGCTCCATCACGCTCCACCTGCTGGGGATTAGATACCACACCTCTCTGCAAACACTGAGAGATGCACACGACAGAATGCAGAACCGACTTCACACCTTGATTGTTTCTAGCTACATAAACCAGTGGCTGACCTAAAAACAAACAGATTACATGGGAGTTAATTCTAGAGATTTATTGCGTTTTTTTGTTGTTGTTGTTTTTACATTTTAAACATTTTTGCTTCAAGAATAACATACAGGGCAAGGCTATTCAGTTAGTTTGCCATGAGGTGCAGTTCATGAAAAGCATCCCAAATGAGGGGCTGGAGAGTTATGACTTGCAGTATAAGTGATGACATGACAGCATATAGAGCCCATATGTTGTATTTTTGCTCCTTAAGACACCAACGTGGTATTTTTTTACATTGAAATGTTAATATGTTGTATTTTGAAACATAATATCAGTGCATTGTACACTTTTTTTTTTTTTACAAACATCCAAGTGTTGTATTTCAAAGCACAACAAAAGCAGTGCATTGCTTAAGTAGGCTACATTCAGACACATTCATATGTTGTTTTGAACTGCATAACAATTATGAATGCAACAATTATTGATTTTTTATCGTGGTTTCACAGTTATGATGTCTAATGTAAATTTAAGCTCTATATTAGCTCAGTATTTGAATGAACTGTTGTTATCATCTGCATTCATACATACAAAATCATTTTAATAGGTTGTAATAATTCGTCTAGCATATCTTAATGACTACGGACAACTCTCACCGCTACAGCGTGAGATGTTTTCTACTCGGTGCGTCTGGAAGGTGGGAGTGCATCGCTCTGTTTGCGCACGCATATTGGCATATATTCTTACTTTGGAAATAACGAACTTGCACGTGGAAAAGATGGCCTGCTGCTATAGTTAATCCAGTGTGCATGCGTCTTACCCTTGGAGTATAAGCTTGTAACTTTAAACTAGTGCACAGGTGGCATAAGTTTGTTTAGTTGCAGCAGTTTCATTCCGTGTAAAAGAAGTACGGCATTGAGAAGCCTTCACGATTAAGTGTCCAAATGTTTTTTTGGCTGCTCGCGCCACTCGCTTAATGTCAGGTGACTCACGCTCTGTGCAGCCTTCAACTGTAGCTGGTGCTGCATTGAACAGATGCACGTCACTTCAAAGCAGCTGTTTTTCGGCTGAACTAAATGTATTTTCCATGTGTAGAAACTCATAGACTGCTAAAAAATATTGGAAGGAATTTGGGACAACATAAAAAATATATATATTTTTTATTACTCATTCATGCATAGAAATGTATTTTTAATATAGAACTTTTCTGATTTAAAAATAAAATAACCAAAAAAACTAGTATTTCTCATCTCGTGCGCACGGACTTGCTTGGAAAACACTGAAATACATCACATCCGGTCGGCCGGTTGCATATGGTCTAGTCGAAGGAGTTCAAATATTTAACAGCTCAATTCGGATCCAAGTTTTCCGCATACGGAGATGATCAGAACACACAGCTCTCGGACTATTCTCAATCGGAAATGAAGGACTTCCGGTCTGTAGTTTGTCATGTGCAGTGAAAAGCAGGCTTATGTGTGTGTGTGTGTGTGTGTGTGTGTGTGTGTGTGTGTGTGTGTGTGTGTGTGTGTGTGTGTGTGTGTGTGTATATATATATATATATATATATATATATATATATATATATATATATATATATATATATATATATATATATATATATATATATATATATATAAATATATATATATATATATAAAATCAGCTGTTTATTAAGATTATAAAATCAGCATCTGTTTATCTTACATAGCGCTTCATCTAAGTGAAGATGAAAAACTAAGTCTGTAAAAGTTGACCATCAATCCATGCTTAATGTGCAAGAAGTAGGAGGCAGACATGGATAAAAAAATGTATTGGTGTTGCAAAGTCAATAGTTATTTTGATAATAGAGAGTCCATCATATCATTTTAGCAGCGTTCTATTGTATTCTCAGACTGCCACTGTACAATTGCTTCATCCATGCACTATTACATAGATTACCTAGGGCTATTAACCCCAAAGAGAATATGATCGTCTCCCATTCCACGCTGGTACTGGCTTTGGCTATGATAACAGTTATTATAAGAGAGGGACTGGTGGGGGATATTATAGCCAGACACTTAAATGTTATTACACAGACATATTTGACTGTATTTTATAGCACAATGTGTTCACAGGGGAGCATGTGCTATTTTTTAAATACGTATCTAGAGTAACATTACATCTGCAAGATAACAGATGAATGCTCAGCACACAACTGTCAAATTAAATAACATGTGTAGACTAAGGTGTAACTGAGTGCAACTGAGGCAGCTGGTAATAAATAAACAATAAGGGACGAGAGGCTGAAAACAATATCGCAAATATAGTTATAGTTAGTTAGAAAGGTGTTATTTGCAGTAATAGAAAATCATTAAATTACATCTAAAAAAAAAGGTTCCTAATAATAAATTGACAGAAAAGACTGGAACAGTTATATGCTTTAATTATATGTTTTTACATTTAACACAGTCTCTTATATATGTCCTCACATACATGGATCTGCTTATCTTACATGCTACCCCTGGTAGACGATACTCAATCACAGTATTCAACATTTGAAGTGAATCAAAAACGTGTTTTAAAATTATCCTTAGAAAAGTATGGGTGTTGTTCAATAGTTTTAGGATAAATTTGATGAAAGGTAATGATCACTTC